TTTTTTTTTTTTTTTTGCTTTGCTTTTCTTTCTTCTTTTTTTTTTTTTCGAGACAGGGTTTCTCTGTGTAGCCCTGGCTGTCCTAGAACTCATTCTGTATACCAGGCTGGCCTCCAACTCAGAAATCCCCCTGCCTCTGCCTCCCAAGTGCTGGGATTAAAGGCATGCGCCACCACTGCCCGGCTGGTTTCTTGCTTTTCTTTTTCTTTTTCTTTTTTTTTTTTTTTTTGGTTTTTTCAAGACAAGGTTTCTCTGTATACTCCTGACTGTCCCGGAACTCACTCTGTAGACCAGGCTGGCCTCGAACTCAGAAATCCCCCTGCCTCTGCCTCCCAAGTGCTAGGACTAAAGGCGTGCGCCACCACCGCCCGGCATTTTTTTTTGCTTTTCAAGGCAGCATTTCCCTGTGTAGTCCTGGCTGTCCTGCAACGTACTCTGTAGACCACTCTGTAGACGTAAGGGCTGCCAGACTCTGACTCCTGAATGCTGGGTTTAAAGGCATGTGCTACCAACTCCCAGACCTGGCACAATTTCTAAAGAAATTCCTTCCTCAGTCCCTTATTCCAACACAGATATCCCTACACAAGTGTTTTTTCTGCTTCTCAACCTGACTGCATGTACGTCTAGGCCTTAATTTCTGAACATTCTGGCCTCTGAGTTGCATGGACATCAGACCTCAAACCAGCACTCACAAGGGCAAGGCAACTCTCAAAATGTTAAGAATGAGAACTACAGTCTAGAAAATCAAATGATCTTCAAACACCAAGACCCCCTCAGCTCTACAGCAGCCTAGCACAGCTGCCAGGCTCGCTCTGAGGTGTCAGGTGCCTGCAGAGCTTTTCTCTCCTTACTGACGTCATCAAGTACTCTACCTGGCTCTTACCCAACTCCATCTTCCCACTTCTGACGTGCGCCATCCACTGCTTCACCTACACGGCCCGTCAATCACAGGCTACTTCTACACAGGCTTCTGCCACAGCTGGAGACGTGCAGTGCTCACACCAAACAGACCATCAATACTGACCTGTCGGGGGCCAGGAAAATATACCCTGAAGCTAAAAACACTTGGCTTGGGCAGCCTGCCCTCTGCCACTGTGAGAACAACAGTTACTTCCTTGTTCTCAGCATGCTTGCACGGAGCTTGCAGCTTACCACGGAGAGTTCAGCTCACCCCCTTTCCCAACCCCTTAACCAACCCCTTACTTAAGCCCCTTACCCAAATGTTCCCTTACCTAATTTTAGTTTTCCATTCCCCACCCAACCACAAGTTCCCTAACCCAGTTCCCTAAACCCCTGCCACAGGTTCCAAGGGGTCACCCCCTCCTCCCATTCCCCACAGTATATCTTGTAGCAGCTTCCTCAATAAAGTGAGACCTTGACAAGACTCAGCTGGCTCTGTGCCTTCTTTCTCCTTGCTTGGTCTCGCGCCTCTTTCTCCCCTGTTTCTTCCCATTAGGCTCGCCTTCTCCGAGGGACCCTGCGACAAAAGCTGCCCCGCGGGACGGGGCACTGACCTGGTTGAACTCGAGGACATCGAGAAGGTCAAAGAGCTTCTGGTTCTTCTCGTTGTCCTTCAGTTTCACGTAGTATTGCTGCAACCCGTGCAGCGTCAATTTGGTCTCGTCATCCACGAAGATCTCCATAGGCTGAGGGGGAGGAGGGGTGGGGGCAGGAGGAGGGCAGAGTGGGGGGGGTTAAACCTGGGGGGGTGGAGGATGCTGATCTCCAATACACCCCATGGAAAGATGGGGAGGAGAGAGAAGACTGAAAACCCCTCCCCACCACAAAGAATACTCAGTGCTGAGGTCTCTTTCCAGCTAGATCTGGTAGCATCCGCATCAATTCAATTTTAAGCCCAACTGACAATGGTTAGAGATGGGAGCTCTGCACAGAGCAAGGTGCTGGCTGCCAGGTGGAAGTGATGGAGGAAAGATAACAGGGCATGGTGCTCAAGGGAAGAGCATGGCCAGAACACCCAGGAGAGGCAGGGATGTCACCAGAACAGGACAGGGACAACTGCCCCACTCAGCTGTCCTCTCTGCACTTTTACAAATGTCCTCAAGACCAGAAGGTTGCACCGGACACCATCAAAAGCCACTTAATAGCCAGGCATCGGCAGCACAGACCCCAGCTCTCGGGTGGTTGAGGTAGTACATTCTCTAAAATGTCACTAAAGAGGAACAAACATGGCTCAAGGTGAGAGACACCCTGCTCTGAACCTCCAGATCTGCTTTAGAAGAGAAAGGCCTCTGAGTTCAGTGAAAACCACCTACATGTGGGGGATTGGGGACAAACGGTCCCGGACAACAAACCTGCAGCCTCCCTCACCCACACCTGCCTCAGCCAGGTCAGGCCAGCTCCGAGCTCTAACCCAGCACAACTTGCCCTTTTTCCTCTTCTCTCCTGTTACCAGGCAACACACTAAGCAGCTTCTCCTACCTGACCTGCTGAGTCTCCACCACCTGCAGATGCCCTGAGACCTCCATCTCTGAGCCTGCCTGATTTCTTGAACTCTTAACTAGAGGACATGGCTTCTCTTTCTCTCCATCTCCCTCCTCACAGCAGCTGTGAGATTTATAGCTCAGCTGCCGTTTTTCTCTTCAGTTCTAATACAAAGATCTTTTAGCATCAAAGGCGAAAAGGGCAATGGAAAGGAAATCGCCTCACATTTGATAAAAAATAAAGCATACCCACCCCTAACCCTTGAAGGGAAGGCAGGAGCATAAACAGAGGCAGACAGTGAACTCCAGGCTGGACTTTCCCCACTCTCCACACTGTCCTGAGAGACAGTTTACATAGCCAGGGACCAAGGCGGGGGTCACAGAAACCTCTTCCAGAAGGCAGGCTCCTCAAATTAGTCCCACAGCTGCCTCCTAATTCTGCCCCAGCCCAGCCCCAGAGAAAGCCATCTTCTCAAGGGAAGGCCCGGGAAGGGTGGAAGGACCCACTGCTCAGTCTCTCCACTGACACCCACTTGGTTGCTTGTCAGTACAGCTTCCCAAATTCGACGTTTCCCAGAACCCTCATTTAAAAAAAAATGTAAAAAAAAAAATTCACCACCCCACTCAGGACACTTCCTCCCCCAACAAGTATGGGGAAAATGGGGTACAGCACATTAGGTTCAGGAAAAAACCGGGAACAGAAAAAGAGGCTGGATGGGTCCTCAGCATCCTGGTCAGGCTCCCCGTGGCCTCCGCAGCTGCTCCATTGCTCGCAGGTCTGCATTCTGCCATCGTGCCTCGGAGCTTCCCTGCTGCCAGCTCACATCAACCAAGGCTCCGGTGGGCGCAAGGAGGTATGGTTGGGAAGGAGTAGGGGACTGGGAGCGCTGAGGTGCCAAATGCCCCCGCTCCTGGATGTTGGGAGGGGCCGATTCATGGTGCTGTTTGTCTGTTCTTCTTCTGGACAGGCCCTGCACCTGACTGTCCCTCTGTTGCTCTCCTGCCACTGACTATAGAGTTTCGGTGAGCAGAGGCTCCAGCTGAATGCTCCATGCCACCTGGAGGGTGAGTGGCTGAAGGGGGTGTGTAGGAGACGATGGGAGGGTGATAGGGCACACAATTTTGCCCTATCCCCACAGGGAGAAGAGGTTCAAAAATGTCGTGATCAAAACAATGTCAAACACTACCCGCTCTCACGTTAACCCGACCAAGTCTTCCGGAGTTTCCCTGGCACGCGCAGACCCTAACGCTAACTGTCTCTGCCTCTGTGTTTTTCTTCAAGGAGTTGTTGTGCCCAGACGGGCACAAACTCCCTTCTTGGTGCTTGAAGGACAAGGGAGTCTGGAAGAAGAGGGCGAGGAGGGGGAGGAGGCAGCGGGCAGGGAGTGGAGGGAAAGAAGGTAGAAGGGTATTTACATCTTGCATGAACTTGGGGCAGACAGGGCGGATCTCTTTGCTCAAGGTAGCACTGAACATCATGACCTGCTTCTCATGGGGGGTCATGCGAAAAATTTCCTGGACATCCCGACGCATGTCTGCAAGAAAAAAATTCACAGAAGAAAATGAGTCAGTGACTTAATTCTGGTGAGGCCAATGAAACTCTGAGGGAAGCCACTGCAGAGATGTGGCATTTCCATGATCTCAGGAACAAGCCAGGCTTTGTGGCACATGACTGTAACCCCAGCACTTAGGAGGTCCTGGCTGGAGGACCAGGAGCGGTTTATACTAGTAACAACATTAACAACATGGAGTTAGGAATGCACTTAGAAAAAGACTTGAGGCCGAGCAGTGGTGTCGCACACCTTTAATCCCAGCACTTGGGAGGCAGAGGCAGAGGGATTTCTCAGTTCAAGGCCACCCTTGGGATTAAAGACATGTGAAGCCTTTTTGTTTTTTTTTTATTAAAGATTTTTCACAAGTTTCTCTGTGTAGTCCTGGATGTCCTTGAACTGACTCTATAAATCAGATGGGCCTCCAACTCCTAGAGACTCACCTGCCTTAGACTCTTGAAGTGCTTGGATTACAGGCATGTGCCTAAACTAGCACCTGGAGCTCTGTTATGTTTCTTACATGAAACCCTGGTCCTCTGCAAGAGCCACCAGTGCTCTTAACTAACGAGCCGTTTCTCTAGCACTCCCCAATGAAATTCTTAATGAAAATTGTCTTTTAACCCCACTTGGCACACTACAACACCAGAACATATGATCTCCTGTGAACATTTACTATATGAATTCCAGGGTTTAACTCCAGAAACCTACACATGTATGAATCCTGATCACGCAGGCTATACTGGAATACAGGCACCTGCTGCTCTAGTGTAACACCCAGTAAGTACATGGTCCATCCCTAAGGGGGGAGCTGTGTTAATGACTTGTGGTGTCAGCACGTTCCGTTCCCTGTTACAGAAAGGAGAGCACAAGGCTGGGCACACGGCCTCGCTGCACACTGCAGCACCAGGGGAAGAGAAGGAAGCCCAGAGCCATCAGTCATGGGTGATAGATAAGAGTCGTCCTTGCACACAAGTGCTCCTATGTCAGACATACATCATTTGGCTCAAAGGGCGGCTCCCTAAACCACCTGATATGGGGCATGGGCATGGCCACTCACTGAGCTGTTCAAGCATCTTGTCACATTCGTCCAAGATAAAGTGTTTAATGTGTTTGAGGTTCAGGCTCTTATTTTGAGCCACAGCTAGAATTCGGCCAGGAGTCCCCACGACAATGTGTGGGCAATTCTTCTTCAACACCTCTTCATCCTTGATAGACAGACCACCAGAAAACACTGACATTAGGTGAGTGTGTGAGCAGTGAGCACTAGGTGAGTGTGAGCTGTGACACTAGGTGAGTGTGTGAGCTGTGACACTAGGTGAGTGTGAGCTGTGACACTAGGTCAGTGTGAGCTGTTACACTAGGTCAGTGTGAGCTGTTACACTAGGTCAGTGTGAGCTGTGACACTGGGTGAGTGTGAGCTGTGACACTGGGTGAGTGTGAGCTGTGACACTAGGTGAGTGTGAGCTGTGACACTCCCTCAGGCCTGAGTCACCTAACTACCCTGCAGAGAAGGTCTGAATAGGAGAAACCCTGGGTTCCTCAGGGTCACAGAGTCGAAGAGAAGGAGCTTCCCAATCTGTCCCCACAGTTCTCAGTCTAACAAAACGTCTGATGTCCTCCAGCACCAATGCAGCATTGGTAACATAACCCACACATGGAACATTCCAGATGCCCTGTGTAGGCTTATATTGTCCAAAATCTACTTTAATAAGCTTATTTAAATGTTTTAACCTCTCTTCTAGCTCACCACCCACCAGAGGTAGTAGAAACATAAGGTTAATAGGGCAAAGGAGGATGTGGACCTGCTTAGAAATAGTTCCTTGGGGTGAGTCCAATCTGTGTTGTCAGGATATCAGCAGTTGAGTTCACACAAGTCAGCAATGGCAGTTCAATCCAGAAGAAACTTTGAGACCCTACCTATCGGTCTGAGTCTGCAGAAGCAGGAAGAAGCTGCTGGAACACCACCAGAAGTTCTTTGGTTCATTTCTCTCTACAAAGTCATGACAAATGATCAGCAAAGAAGGCAAGGCTAACCAATGCCACACAGCATCGTCAGTGAAGACCAGCATCAGCAAAGACCAGCAAAGACCAGCAAAGAATGGCAAGGCGAACCAATGCCACATACCATCGTCTGTGGTCTGTTGGGTTATATTTATACCCTTTCCAAACATCATGTGATCTCTCAAGAGAAGATCTCTCAAGTCTAGCAAAACATTACATGCCCCTTTTCCAGGCAGCTTCCAGAAAAACACCATGCGTCTGCATCAGCAAAAACATACTCTAATAAGACAGTTTCTAGAAAAACAACACATGACACAACTGAGTCTCCAAACAAACCTGAAATTTCCTCTTCAGGCCTGGTTCTCCTATATTTAGGCCCTCAGATCAGGGGGCCACATTGCCATAGTGCTTCTTGTACTCCACCCATGTCTGTTTTAACAGATAATCTCTAATTCCATCTTTATCCTAAAGCTTTAGTACAGTCCTTTGAAATAACAGAAAGCCCTTGTCTCCTTGTCTCCTTGTCCCAATGTTTTCAAACATTGGGAATGTGGTTCAGTGACTAGAGTGCCCACCTTGTATGCCACAGGCCACAGGTTCAATTTCTCAACACCTCCAAAAACAGGGTAGCGTTACCTAGGCTGGAATGGTGAGGTGACTCAGATAGAGATACTTGCCACTAAGTCTGACCACTTGAGTTCAGTCCCCCAGAATACACATGGAAAGAGAGTACTAGCCCCTCAAGGTTGTCTTCTGACTCCCTCTCCCCCAACACACACCACATCTGGGGAGTGCCCTCATTCCACACCATACACATATAGCAAGGGTAAATACATAACACGTGAAGTAGTTTAAAGCCTCTGTGATTATCCTTGCTTGGGTTGCCCTTCAATCCACCTGGCCACTTCTCATTACAATGTGGGTTTTGGACACAGGAAAACTCACTCACTGGAAAGTTTGGGGGCAAACTGGACACAGCTTACATATACCTGTCCTTAGACATATGTGTCCTCATACATACGTATTTCTATGTCCTTCAACAGGAAACCATCATAGTTCTTTTTTAAATTTTTATTGCACTGATTTAATAATTATGTGTAGGGATGTCCATGTCATGATGCCCACGTGAAGCTCAGAGGATAACTTACAGGAGTCAGGTGTTTTCATTCACCATGTGGCTTCAGTGGATCAAACTCAGGGAGCCAAGCTTGATGACAAGAACCTTCACACTCAGAGCCATCTCCATGGTCCCCTTGGAGACCATTGGGTTTGAATGTTTCCTTTCAAAAGTTCCTTCATTCCTGGACTTGGCACATACAAGAGGTGCCCACCATGACATTAGAAAAGGTGTTTCCTGATAGATAGGTACCAGCATTGCCTTGGATGACTCTGGAGAAGCAGGCCTTTTGCCCAGGTCCCACCTGTGGCAGTGTCAGCTGGCTGACACCTGGGAGAGGCCAAACCTTTGAAATTCAGTCTGGGGAACACTAACATTTCCCTGGCACTACACCTGGAAGATATTTGCACTGGGAGCTTGGGTGTCACTGTCTGCGTTAGTTACTGTGGTCCTTTGAATAAGATGACCCCCATATTCTTGGTCATTTGAATACTTAGTTCCCAGTTGGTGCTGTTTGGGGAAGCTTAGGAGGTGTGGCCTTGCTGGAGGAAGTATGTCACTGGGAGGCGTGGTTGGAGGTATGAGCTCTCAGCTGTTCCTGCTGCCATGCCTGGTGTTTGCTGTCATGATGTTGATGGACTCTTAAGTCTTTGGGACCCTAATCCCCAGACAAACCTTCTGTAAGTTTCCTTGGACATGATGTTTTATCACAGCAACAGAAAAGTAACCAATACAGTTCCATTTTCCATCACTGTGTCCTAATATCTGACAAAACACAGCTTAGGGAGAAAGGGTTTATCCTGGCTTATAGTAGTCCCTAAAGCTAAATCCGTCAAAGTGACAGCAGGCCCTTCCTCCCTATTCCAGTGTACAGGCCACCTTAGTAAAATGTCCCACAGGAGCTGTCCAAAATGGGGGCTCCTGTTAAAATGGCAGCTCCACTACATCTCATCAAACTGCAGTTGTCACAGGAGTAGTCCAGGTTGGAGACACCTTTCCCACTTCAGCCAGTAGTCTTGGTGAAACAACACAGGAGTTGTCCACAGTGACAACACCTCTCCAGTACCCTTTCATCCCCAGCAGCCCCACAGAAATGACAGCTTAGCAAAAGACAGCACCATCTGGGAAGGACTTCCTACTTTAACCCATGGACCCGATTCCAGGGAAAAGGGTGTGGAAAAAAAGCTAGCAATCCCGGAGCAGGAAAACCCCATGACAGTGACATGGCTCAGCCTGCCAAGGATGTATGGAAGAAGCTAGACTTCTTTAATAAGCAATTGAACCTTTGACAGAGAGCCCTTGCTCTTTCTCAATCTCTATCTCTCTCTGTGTCTCTGTGTCTCTGTGTCTCTCGCTCTCTTGCTCTCTCCCTCTCTCTTTCTTTCTCTTTCTCTTAACTTGGAAGAAGCTCTGGGTAAGTGATGGGGATTTCCTCTTTGGGTTTTGCAGGAACAACAGAAGCATCTGACAGGACACAGGTAAAAAAGAAATCTAGGAAAGAGAGCTAAGGAGTCCTCTTGGATTTGGAGGAGCTCAAAAGAAATGTAGACTGGCTCAGAAGAATGACACAGATAGAAAGAGATTTCTAAAGAGCTGGCAGTTTAGTTGTAGAATTAGTTTTGTAAGTAGATTATCTCATATACAGTTAAGAAAATAGTGTTTCCTCGCTGAGCTGGCAGGTTTTTACCTCAATTTATGCCTCAGGTGCTATAAATATTTAGTGCTATAAATATTACTTAATTTAAATGGTTACCGGCCTATGAGCAGGAGTTTGGTCTCCTGCAATACAGAGTCATCCACAATGCAGAGCAACAACAGGCTTATGAACAGGACTTTAAGGCAGACTATGCTGAATACCACATCCATCATGCCCAAGTCAGGGCTGCAAACCACAGGTTCACTGAGCTGGGAATGGAGATGAAGAGACTTCAGGGAGTTAACTCCACAACACAAGTTGCTAAAAGATAAGATAGTCCAGGAGTGTAAAGGGTTCAGGGGGCGGTACCCAAGTTACAGGAGAGAGAAGCATCCTTGTTCTTGAAATGGAAACTTCTGGTTTCTTTGGAAAGTCCGTTATGTGAAATGATGTTTTCTGAAGTAGACACATGAAAGGACACATGATGTTTAGAAGGAATATAAGTAAAACCCAACAGACAATAGACGAGGCTGCATGGTATTGGTAAACCTTACCATTGTTTATTGGTCATCATTTCTCGTGATTCTGTTAGTAAGAAATACACCAAAAAGCTTCTGGTGATATCTGGCAGCTTCTTTTTACTTCTGCAGGGGGTTGATTGGCAGAGTGAAGTCGAGGTTTCTGGATATGTCTGTTAATACAGACTCAAGTGGAGTTTTGCTAAGACAGACTTGTGTGGTGTTTTGCTGAGGCAAGACTGGAGTGAGTACATGTGATGTTTGGAGGGAGTATAATAGGACACAATGGACAGTGATGGTGGGCTTGTATAGCTGGCTTTGCAATGCTTCGTTGGTTTCATGTCTTCATCTTTGTTGATCTTCCCTTTGTTGAGAGAGTCATGGCAAAGAACTCCTGGTGTCCCTGCTGCTCCTGGTCATTCCTGCTGACTCATGCGGATTTGGTGGAGGCCATTCCAACAACCCATAACTCACAGATGGAGGCTTGGCTATTCCTGCTGGGTTGTGCCACCACTGCTGTTTTGTGTTTGGTATCCTGACACTACGGACCTGGACTTCTGGTATCCTGTCAGTTGGAGATTGAAATCACCCCAATGAACTACTAAATAGCAAATAGATGAGCCTCCCGGCTTATTGTGGATTGAGCTGCTGTTGCTGATTCTTGTGAAGTGAACTGCTGATATCTTGACATAGCAAACTGAATTTCCTCCAAAGAACCATTTCTAAACATGTTACTTCCCACATATCCTAATAACCTTTCTTTTGCACTACTTCTGGTGGGTGGTGGGCTACAAAGGAGGTTAAGCATCTATGAACCTTTATTTAAAATAGGTTTTGAAAAATTTAAGCCAATAATCTCAGCTGTTGATGTGCTCATGAGAGTTAAACAGAAAAACACATCCTATATCCGATAACCCTGGAAAAGACACTGGAAAGAAGGAGAAGCATAAATCACAACAGTAGCATGGCTACAGGGAGAGCTCAGAGCAGCTTCAAGACTGCATCATTAGTAGCTAAAACAAAGGATGGGAGGAAATGTAGTGTGACTTCTCTTGTGCACCTGGCACATCGAAGGATCCCCACTGGGGTCTCTGATCTTTATCCCTGGAGACACATAATTCTGGGAACAGGACCAGGTTCAGGGTCTCAGGTATAGGATGTGATCTGTCTGTTCATCTCTCATCCCTATGTCCTTGTGATCACAGACTCTCAGCATGTGCTTCACAGTGACGGAGAGAGCAGACCCCAGAGGTGACACAGGCAAGGAGTGAGTGACCCCACCAAAGATCACAATGGACTGAGCACACCTGGGCACAGCCTCATCCTGTCCCAAGAGATACACACAGCATAGTGACACAGATTCTGGAAGGTTCTCCATCTGCCATTTATTTCTTCAAAAAAAAAAAAAAAACCCAAAAAACAAAACAAACTTTAAATATCTTCAATCCATGAAACTAACAAGCAATCAACTCTCAAGTCAAGATGTTAACAATCAAGTTCACATTCAGATTCTTATTCTCAGGTGGAAGTGAGGAGCTGCAGCTCAGGGCAGCATGGAGCTGACAGGATGCAGATGCCCCTTAGACAGATTGGCTGTGGAAAGGAATACAAGCAGTGCATGGACAAGGCCCTGGAGTGCAAGGGCAAACTGGACTCTACAGTTCTTCACATTGAGCCCATAGGCTCACAGGGAACATCAAACACTGATGTCTAAAGAGAACTGAGGGCTCTGGATGTCACAGGAGAGACATGAACATACTGTCTGTCACTCAGTCCACTCCAGGCAGCTGTCTTCATGCTAGAGAATGAGAGTCATGAACCATCACTGTGAAGTCAACATTCCAACAACCCACCACTCACAGGGGATTCTGGGAGTCCCTGAAACCCAATCATGTCCACATTGCTCCTCCCCAATCAGGCCCCAGAGTGTCACTTTTGCAATCTGGGAGAGACATATTACACCTCTGTGAGCTGTCACTGCCTAGGGTAAGACAAAAAAAAGTATGTGTATGTGTATATGTATGTATTCATATCAAGGTACAAATGAGACCTCCAGAAGATTTCTCTGGAGGAGCTATAATGGATTCCCAGAGCTCCCAACATCCCCAGCCAATGGCCTCAGGACAATCCTACCCCCCCCCAACACTAACCTGGAGCTGGAGCATAGTCTCCTCCTATTCCACCTGTGAGAAGAAAAGCTGTGAGAGTTCAAGGATGATCTTGACACTAGGAAGTTCCCAGAACTGACAGCAGACCCAGTTGGAGACAGTAGCAATGCAGGGTGTGGATGTGTTTCCCATTAATGAGCAGAGCACACTTCTAAAGGAGGCTGAGAGAAAACTCAGACCCTGCCCTTTCCTACCTCTGTTTCTCCTCCTCTTGATCACAAAAGCCACCACAGCTCCAATGATGGCCACAGCTCCAAGGGCAACCAGAACAGCTATGATCACCATATTAGAGTCAGTGGATGGAGGAGGCTCTGGCAAGGACAGGGACAGAAAATGAAGGTAAGGGTCGTGATCCCAGCTCTCAGCCCTGATCAGCTCAGGATCTGCAGAAGGTTCAAGATTTCCCTGACCCCAGCTATGCACCCACACCCTCCTTACCCCATCTCAGGGTGAGGGGCTCAGACAGCCCCTCATGGTACACATGGCATGTGTAATTCTGCTCCTTCCCAAGAGGCACCATCAGAGATGCCCACTTCTGGAAGGTTCCATCCCCTGAAGGCCTGGTCTGCACAAGCTCCATGTCCTGGGTCAGGTCCTCCCCATTCAACTGCCAGGTCAGGGTGATGTCAGCAGGGTAGAAGCCCAGGGCCCAGCACCTCAGGGTGACATCACCTTCTTGTCTGGGGTGATGGGTCACATGTGCCTTTGGGGGATCTGTGTGGAAGATTTAAGATATCCCAAAATTAACAAGACAATCTGAAATCTACACAAGACACAGTTAAATCAGTGATGACACTGAACTATGTGTCTGTCTGACACTTCAACTGTCATCACACTAGTGACATTCAGGTAGAGCTGGTCATCTCAGGACAGAACTGCCCATTTTCCTGGGGACTCAGAAGCTAAGAGGGAATCATACATGCCCATGGGCCAACATGGCCATCCTTATGTGATGTTCTATAGGATGAAGTAGGTAGTCATGGAATGGACAATGGAGTGCAAAACAAGTAATTTAATATGTGTTTGAGTTCATGTCTAAATTATAAATTATGGCCATGTGCTACTGGTAGGTTTCCACCACTGAGACTTAAACTCTTTGGTCATTTGACTGACTAACATAAGTGTCAGTCCAAGTAAACAGTTACCACAAAGTATGTAGCAGAAATGTGGTCAACCTCTAACAATCAATCAGCCAGAGAAAATGATTCCCTGGACCTGCCTATTGAGTGACAAGATACAGGTATGTAACATAGGATCCCTGGAGTGTGCTGTGGACCCCCAGTGCAGCACTCACTGGGACACAGTGTGCTCACAGGGTGTTTGGATCTTCCCTCTCACTCCAGTCCTAGACTGCCGAAGACTCTGTCTCTCAGAGAGTCCAATTCCTGATTCACTAGGGGGAGCACTGTAACTTGTAGGGGTGGAGGAAGAACAGGAGGGATCTGGGTGTTTAGTTCCAACAGGAAACAGTCTAAGCTCACAAAAGTCTCTCCTTTAATGAGAACCCTGAATTAACTTGTCTAATCATCCAGTCTGTGAAAACTGATACAAATGATAATACAAGGGCATGGAGAAACATTATCAGTCCAGTGCAGACAAAAACTGAGAAGAAGCAAAATAATGCCAGAGAGAGAGAGAGAGAGAGAGAGAGAGAGAGAATATCCAGTTTATAATTCATCAGGTTACCCCATAAGGGCTCACATGACCATTCACCACTGTAGGAATAGATAGAATTGGGTGGTTGAAGGGATGAAAACCCCACAGACAGGGAGGGATCTGCAAGAATGTATTCTTTGGAAATTTCTAGAAACTGGGGAACCAGCCTAGTGTAGGGGAGTCCATGTCTCCCCTACAAAGGAGACTTCCGGTACTTAGGTGTAAGGACTGACACACTCAGCAAGACAGGAGTCAGTGTCCACAGACAGTGGGTGTGGGCAGAGAACCAGGCCTGAGAGAGGCCATAGCTGACAGCAGGAAGCCCCTGCTGTTCTGTCAGGAAATTCTCTCCTTTTCTCCTGAGACAGACTGGGAACTGTCCAGGGAGAAGGCTGAGCCCTGTGTCAGTGCAGTCACTGTGATGATGATCAGGAGACCCAGGGACACACTCTCCCCTCTGAGACAGGGGCATCACCCCAGCTGAGGGTTTCTTCTTCCCCAGGACTGAGCCCTAGCCTGAGGGCAGAGGGAGGAGCTGCCCGCCTCCTGTGCACCTGTGCGCAGCAGCATCTCCTTCCCGAGCTCCAGGTATTTGCGAAGCAACTTCAAGCACCTCCCCTTTAGGTAGGCCTTGCGACTTTCTGCATCACCATCCTGCTCCCACTTGCGTCGGGTGATCTGCGCCGCCATGTCTGCCGCCGTCCACGTTTCCAGGTCTTCGTTCAGGGCGATGTAATCGCGGCCATCGTAGGCGAACTGATGAGACCCTCGGAGGAAGCTCCCGTCCGACCTCATCTCACAGTCATACATCCACTGGTAAGTGTGAGAGCCTGCAGGACCCCGTGGTCAGCCCCGCCCACCTGCCCGGCCCGGCTCACCCATGAACTTTTCCAAACTGAAAGGAAAACCGGTCCCAGTTGGGTTCTGCTCCCAAACCTGGGACTTGAGACCCCGAATATCTCCGGCCACTGTGTCGGGACGTGGAGGGGTCGTGACCTCCGACCCAGGGTCACTCACCGCCCTCGCTCTGGTTGTAGTAGCCGCGCAGGATCCTCAGGCTCTCTCGGAAAGCCGTCTCCCAGCTTTTGGCGATCCATGTCTCCCACTCCCAATACTCCGGCCCCTCCTGCTCCAGCCAAGGCACACGCGGCTCAATCCTCGGATTTTCCGTGTCACTGTCGAAGCAGACGAACTGCGTGTCGTCCACGTAGCCGACAGAGATGAACCAGGGCTCCCCGAGGCCGGGCCGGGACATGGCGGTGTAGAAATACCGCATCGAGTGTGAGCCTGGGGACGGTGCGCGGTGAGACCCCGACTTCATCCCAGGACCCTGGGTGGGTGCGCGGGCAGGGAGGGTAGCAGGGCGCGGGGCTCGGGACGCGGGTGGAGAAGGGGCGGAGGGTCCGGTGGGCGACGCGGCTTCCCCGGTGCCGCCCCCGCCCCTCCCAGCAGAGCCCGTTTCCCTCCCGACCCCGCACTCACCCGCGCGGGTCTGGGTCGTGGCCAGGGCGGCCGCCAGCAGCAGGAGCAGCGTGTGCAGTGTCATTGCCCCCATCTGGGATCCGGGGCAACTAACTTCTGAGGGCTGTGTGGACTTTATAGTCAGGACCCGTGGCGACGCTGATTGGTTCCCCGAGATCGCGTCACCCAATGGGGATGAGAGACGCCAGTGCGTCATCAGTGTCCGGGCAGAAGGACCTGACACAGGAGCAGAAGTGAAACTGGGGAGATGGGGAATCCCCAGCCCTGGGCTTCCCCACCCCTGACCTCACCTCCTGGAGACTAAGACTTTGCCTGAACCCTGTGCTGTGGACAGAACGTTGTTTTTCATGGTGTCTCTGAGTTCTGGCCCAGAAACTGTCTGGACACCAGGAGAGACCTGCAGGCCTCTCTGTGTCCTCTCCTCCACCCTTCCTCTTTCTTCTCTTCAGAAGTCAGACCCTGGAGTCTTATAGAAGAAAAGCCACTTCCGGGAATACAATGACAACAAAAGTGGTTGGGGATGCAGTGGAGAGATGCTTCTTAAACAGAGGCGCTGGCCTATAAGCCCACACGGACCCCACTCACACCACCATGGTCTGTGTTCACCTGCAGTGGGTGGCTCACACTGCCAAGTCTGACTGTAAAAAGGAGACATTGCTTCTTTCCTCTGGATCTGCCTTCTCTCAGACTCCTCATGTTTCTTCCCAGATGAAGCATCTGTAGCTCCAGATGGGCATGTTATATTTACAAGGATCTTCATTCTCAGTCCTGAGATTGTCTGTGTGGACCTGTGTCATTGTCTCTGCACTGTAGACCCCAATGTCCACTGGGAAGAGGGTTTGATATCAAAGAAAACATAAATTTTATGACTCTCCGCATTCTCCATGGTTCATTCCAAGGTTCTCCAGTGTTTATCTAAAGGTGGTTAACATAAGGAACAGTAGGGTGGTTTATAGGTAGTGTGAGATGTCCCGTGCTCCCCCAGTTATAACTTACAGGACCAATAGGGACATCCTCCATAGGTATTAATGTCTTTAAGGCATGATGTGTCTGATTGTCAAGGAAACCAAGCAAAGGAATCAGCACTGCACATGGCATTTGCGTGAATAGGAATCATAATGGGTTCTGACATCCTGCTAGTGAGCAGTCTCCAGTCCTGATTATCTGGTTCTTCCCATGATATGTTCCCATGACATAAAACAAGGAAACTATAGTGTTAGGAGGAGAGGGGATAACACCAGCATGGTGTGTGTCGAGGAGGGTAAAAACAGCCATGAGAATGAAAGAGAAGGAGCCATGTGGGGGGGGGGGCCCGCACCAGCTGCATCGAGCTGTGTCGATGAGGACACGAGTGTCCTTCCAGGTGATCTGATTGTGTGCCCTCAAGTGTCTGCATGGTCTCCTCTTTGTTTGCTCTGTGATCCTGAGGTGTGACCTCTTTCTGACTGGAGGGGTCCCGTCAGATATTGCAGTCTGGACCCCAGACAGGGTGAGGTTGCTCCTCTGGAAAGATAGAAACAATTCCCCTTCCTACTGTTAAAAGGGAATCTGTCCCCCTCCAACACCTGTCAAATGGGTCCTTCCATCTGACCAGGATGGGTGGTGTATGTGGTGGTTGACTCCAGTGACAGACAATGGGAGGTTTGTCTTGGGTGGCATAGAGGTTGAACACATTCAGTGTGAATAATGCCAGGTTTAATTTGGTAGTTGGTGGTAGGAAGTCTTGTGTTTATTTAATTATGTTTTTACGTGTTTGATTTGTTCTTTCAATGACAGTTTAGCTCTGAGGGTTGTGAGGGATACCAGTGTGGTGGACAATTTTCCAAGACTTGTAGAAGTTTTAGAATTGATGGCTATTGAATGCCAGTCCAGTATCATCTTTGATATGGAGAGGGACTCTCATATTAGCAAAATTGGAGAACATGCGATTAATTAGGTTTTTAAATGGGAATAGGTACGAACAGTAACAAATACACATTTCTGTGTATGGAGTGATGGGATGTGGGTGACATCATTCTTGCAAGAGGGCATTAGCCTGAGAGCCTCTGGGGTTGGTGCCCAATTGTTGTATAGCAGGGGTGCAAATTAGGGAGGCACAGGAGGAGTAAGTTCTGAGAATGTGTTTGAGGTATTTTATGGGGGCATTGGGGAATTTGAGCTGTAGCCCTTCCAGGTTAATATGGGTTAGTTGATGGGAGTTCTTTAGCAGTGAGGGGTGACAGAGTAAAATCCCCAGTTGTGACAATCTTACCAGCTAATGTGTTGCCATCAGACAGGGGTCTGGTAAGGGATGAGTGTGACTACACATGGTTGACTGAAAAATAGATATGTTCTAGTTTAAAATATTTTTGAAATCTTAATTAATAGTTGGGAAAAAGGGTCACCACCAAGTCTGACATAGCAGCAGGCTAGCCACAGGTAAGTTGACCATATAAGTGCTGTCTGAATATAAATTAGCTGGTTCTTTTAGATATGTTAGGATCAGGAAGATAGAATACGGTTCTTTAAATCGGGGAGATTTATCTGTGAGGGGAAGAAATGTGACTCAGAGCCAGTGTCTCTTTGGTATACTGTGTAGACAGCACCCTGTGGCCCTCCATCTGTAAAATCTGTGGGCCTGTGGGATAGTGGACCAAGAGAACATTGGAGAGGAAGCCACCTAAAGACTGGTGGGCCTGCAGGAATTTATCTTTGGGATAATGGTTGTCTGCCTGTCCTGGGAAGCCAATGAGGCTATTAGCAAAAGAGGTGTGGTTTCTCAGGAGCCATTGGATGTCTGAGATGGGGAAGGGAAAACAGTTACATCAGGTTCTTTACCTATAATTTATAAAGTACACTCTCTTCCTGTCCTAATAGTGGATAAAGATTCAACCTCAGTTAGTAGTTGAGGTGCTACCCCTTTTGGAGCATGGAGCCATTCTAGGATTCCCTGAGGTTGATGTAAGGCTCCAACCACTGTGTGGGAAGAACTGAATGTAAAGACCTGGATTGTGTGTTGTGGATCATAACATGCCAGGTGTTTCTAACGTGGTGTTTAATAGAACAAAGGGTCCCTCCTGCTGCTGGCATCAGGGAGAGAGGAGAGAAGGGCATCCTAGTCACCCTTAAGTAAATCAAATAGAGGCTGTGATTGCCTGACTGGTATGGTGAGCCAAGACCCAAACCAATTAATATTGCCTAAGAAGCTTTGAAGGGTATTTAGGGTTAATGCATTGGTGAAGTCACTGACAGGTGTAGCTGGCCAGACTGAGGGTACACTAATTTGTCCCCCTAGGAATGTGATGGGTTAAATAAGTTGAATCTTTCATTTTTAAAGATTTATTCTATTTTACATATATGAGTACACTGTAGCTCTCTTCAGAGACACCAGAATAGAGTATTGGATCCCAAGACATATGGTTTTTAGCCACAGTGTGGTTGCTGGGAATTGAACTCAGGACCTCTGGAACCGCAGTCAGTGCTCTTAACTGTCGAGCCATCTCTCCATCCCAAACAAGTTGAATCTTAACTTTGGATAATATAAAGCCTCTTTCTGTTAGGGCTTTCATGGCTTGTTGTTTAAGATTCTCTGAGGTTAGGTTTTCATCTTGCCTTTTAGCTTGTCATATTAAGAGGTCATCCAAGTAATGAAATATACAGAGGCCTGAATTAAAATAGATTTTAATGCACCAGCTACAGCTTCTTCACAAATGGTGGGGCTGTTAGCTATAGTTGCAGGAGTTCCCTCCACTCAACCCTATCAGCTGGTCCTGAGGTATTGACTTTAGGTACAAGAAGGCAGTTAGGGGGCTAAATGGTGCCAGGCCTGGAGTGTACATGAACAGACCTGCTTAAAGCATCCATCAGGGAATAAGGATTACTAAATACCTGTGGAGAAACTACACTGGCCGAACAATTGGCTATAGTTCCAATTTATTAATGGAGGGAGGTTGTTCTTGTTGGGGTCCTATTTCTTGTTTACATGTGTCATTTTTTCTATCTTGCACCTAACATTCATCTCCAATACAATTCTTCCCACTGTGCAAGACTACGTAAAGTAGCGAGCACATACCTCTCCAGTCTAGGGGGTTAAAGAACCTTTGTATGATAGATTTTTTGCAGGGGGCATGAATTCCATCCTCACAGACGGCTGTTCACACTCAGCCCCCACCACCTCATCCTGTTCCACACAGCTTAGTGACACACAGCTTAGATACACACAGCTTAGTGACACAGATTCTGGAAGATTCTCCATCTGCCAATTATTTTCTCCAGGAAACACTAAATATTCTCTGTCCCTCAGTTTACCTGTCAATCAACTCTCAGGTCAAGGATGTTAACAATCAAGTTCACATTCAGATTCCTATTCTCAGTGTGGAAGTGAGGAGATGCAGCTCAGGGCAGCATGGAGCTGACAGGATTCAGATGCCCCCTTCTGCCTGCTGGACCAGTGTAACTTTAGTTTTTTCAAATCCTATTTTTAATGATGGTTCTTAAAGACTTTAACTTTCCTTTTAACTCACCACCAACCAGAGGTAGTGGAAAAGAAAGTACATGGTGTTGGTTGAGGAATGGGGGAGTGGACCTGTTTAGAAATTGTTTTTTGGAGCAACTCCTGTCTGTATTATCTGGAAATCAGCAGTTCAGTTCACAGGTCAGCAGCAGCAGCTCTGTCCACTTGCAAACATCTCACAGATACACCTGCAGTCTGGTTTGGTAAAGTCAGGTTAGCAACAGTGGTGACACAACCTAGCAGAGACAGGCAGGCCTAGGCTCCAGTCAGCAGGAGGGACCAACAGAAACAGCAGAAGTTCTCAGCTATGCATTCCTGCACCTGTGCATAGCAGCTTCTCCTTCCGGAGCTCCAGGTATCTGCTGAGCGACTCCAGGCACATGCCATCCAGGTAGGCCCTGTGTTCCTCTGCAGCATCAGCCTTCTCCTACTTGCTTAGGGTGATCTGCACGGCTGAGTCTGCAACTGTCCATGTTGTCAGGTCTTTGTTCAGAGCGATGTAATTGTCACCATCGTACGATTATTGATTATACCTGAGGAGGAGGCTCCTGTCCGACCTCATGTCACAGCCAGATATCCACCGGAGCAAGTGAGAGTCTGCAGAAACTCGTGGTCAGCGCCGCCCTCCCAACCCACCAACCCTAAGTGCCACTCCTACCTGCCCGGTACCCTCCCCGCCCCCACCCATCTGCCCTGCCATGAACACACACTCTTTCCTTTATCGAGAACACTGGGTGTATATAGATTGGACAGGTATTTTTAGCTCAAGGAAAAACACTTTTAAATCTATACTTAGAAGACAACCAAAGGAAATTCATAATATTGAGCTTGTGACTATGATAATAGCAATCACTGTTTGTCATGGGTAGATAAATAATTCATCAGAACTTCATTGATTAATGTTAAAACTCTGAACTTTTTAGATCTTAATATCAGAATAGCATACAGAGGGAAGAAATCGGAAACATTTTTTATTTTCCATACACCTTAAATCATTTACTTATACCTCTAGGAAATGCATTTATACACCTTAAAACACCTCCTTAGACCTTTATAAATTGCAGTTAAAGCACTGGTTTAGATCTGTATAAGTTGCATTCACAGATCTCAAAGCACATTTTTAAGATCCCTGTAGCTTACTTAAACTATCATATCCTTAGAAGCTACATAAACTTTACAGTTTTCTCTCTCCAGTTATTCACCACAGGACACGAGTGGTTGGTTACTGTGAGCAGTCCTGCTAAAACAACTTCTTTTACATAAAGGAGTAGTAAAAAGTTACATTGAAATCTGTTGTGGGAGTGTATCACTTCTTAGAATCTGGTAACAATGTGATGAGTGTCTAGACCTAGTAGCAACTCTAGGAAAGTGCCCCCGGCTTTTTACACATGAAGAACTGAGCAAAACCTGAATCCTGTGTTGTTGCTTGCTGTTAAACTGACAAAGCTCTCCCTAGTTAACAGCATCAGAGATCAGCAAAGGAGGAATTGCACCTGAGTAAGCAGGAAGTACAGACCAAGCAGCTTCCAAATCTGTTAAAAATGGCAGACTTATTCATTACCTAGACAATCACTGAAGGTTCTGCTGTGGTAGTCTTGATTTCACTGGGAACAGAGGATCCAGGGCAGCATCAGTGTTCCCTGCCTGCTCCAGAAGATCCAACGACTGTCCAGTGGAGGAGGACCCTGGGGGTGCAGCCTACCTTGTCTAAGCTAAGCAAGGAAAGCAACTCCCCAGTGTCCTACTCCTTCACAGTTTGAACAGGGTCCTGGTGGCAGAGAGATGAAGGGAAGATTCTCACCCAGTGGCTGGCTTTGTCACATTTAAAGTAATCTCAAGGTGGAATTCTTCTCTGCCCTTTCATCTGCTCTGAAGACCTGGGGGTCACTTCTAGTAGCTGGGAGTCTCTGTCTGTCATAGTAAGCCTTGTCCATTAAACATTTTAAATGCCATATTCAGCAGATCTCTGAAAAGTTTTGAGGCCTGCTTGCTAATAAGGATATCTACACTGAACAAACTTTCCTTCTTTCTAGTAACTTGTTTTAGTTTTAACTTTGGAAACATATACAGGAGGCTAAATACACCTTGTTCCTGTTCTTAACTTGAATGTGTCAATTGTCTTCAAAAGTTTACAATAAGGCAGTAACTTTCATAAGGTTATGATTTTGTGATTTTATCTCTGTTATGTTTGAGCCTTAGTAATTTGAGGTGAAGATCCTTTATCATCTAAATAAAACATAAATGCCTTAAACTTTAGTCCATAGGAGACTGGTATCTTTTATAGTTTACCATTATAGAATAGCACAGATTTGTATGACTCAGTTTCTCCAAATAGCTAAAGCTTAACAAGATGAACAAGGACTAAACCAAGACAAATATCACTGTGAAGCAGAGTAGGCCTTAGAAATATATAACATATGACTCTGTATTCCTTATTTATCAAATATAGTGGGCTGGAGAGATGGCTCAGAAGTGAAGAGCACCAGCTGCTCTTCCAGAATATCCAGGTTCAATTCCCAGCAACCACACCACAGCTCACAGTTGTCTGTAACAATAGTTCCGGGGATCTGACACAGTCACAAAGACATTGAACGCATATAATGCTCACATGCTCATAACATGTAATTTTAGAATAAAAGGCCTACCTTGTTCATCAAACATGTGTTTGTATGTTGACAACAGGGTAATGTAGTAGACATGATTTAGTTCCTCCCAACACCACTGCCCTGTGCTCACACATGTGTTGATGGGAGGTGACAGGTGAGCTGAGCTGAGGGAGTGAGAGACTGAGGCATTAGGACAGTGAATCTGTGCATGTGACACCTGAGTCTGCCCCTGAGCACATCAGCCCTGTGCATTGTGAACCTTGTGGACACTAGACAGAGGAGGCAAGGGTCTCACACCAGGTGTGACAGAGTCTTCATCCCATGGAAAGAAAGACAAAACATGTAAAAACAAACGTGTCACATTTTTTTTACCACGTTTGCCTTGTTATAATCAGATCATAGTTAACCTAAGTCAGAAAAACTGTGGAAGGCAAAACCCCGTGATAAGAGTCACAGGGCAACACAGTTTGTCTCTGCCCTGGGCCATCTGTCTAGTCCCTGGACCAGCTTTTAAAATAAACATAAATCTAAAGTAGACTCATTCCACAAACCCTGGAATCTCCTCTAAAGTCAGCATCAGGATACTCAGAGCCAGGGAAAGATAGGGGCCATGGGCACAGCACAGATCCAAGAGGACAGATCAGAGATGAGAGCCTGTGGATCCCTCCTCTGTGTGGATCCTCCAATCCAGGGTTAGCTGGGAAAGATGGGAAGAACTATACAGAGGGCCCTGGAAGGAGGCAGGAACCCAGGAGAGTTTAGATCATCTGTGTAGCCCACCGTATGCTGAGAGCAGGGACCTTGTTGTGTCTGGTGGGGACAAGAATGGTAACAACACCTCCTACTGCTGTCACAATTAGACATCTATGAGGAGAACCATATAGGAAGCACTTTCAGGAACAAGAATAGGCCCAGTCCTCCATACAAACTAAAAACACAAGAAATAAACACAGAAGACAAAATAAAGATTCACAGTCATGACAGCAGCCTGGGCCATCCTATGACCCTGTGATCACAGACTCTCAGCATGTGCTTCACAGTGATGAAGAGAACAGAGTCCAGAGGAGACAGAGCTTAGGGTGACCTTGTCTTAGATAACAAGGATCTCATCTGGGCACATCCTCATTTACACTCAGCTCCCACAGCCTCATTTTATCCCACCAGATACACACAACATAGTGACACAATTCTGGAAGGTTCTCCATCTGTCATTTATTTCCTGCACAAACTCTAAGTATTCCCAATCCGTTATTTACCTGTCAATCAACCCTCAGGTCAAGGATGTGAACAATCTAGTTCACATTCAGATTCTTATTCTCAATGTGGAAGTGAGGAGCTGCAGCTCAGGGCAGCATGGAGCTGACAGGATGCAGATGTCCCCCAGTGTTTGGCTGGACCAGGAAGGTTGGCTGTGGAAGGGAACACAGGCAGTGCAGGGACAGGGTGCTGGTGTGCAGGGGTAGACTGAGCTCCACAGGTCTTCACATTGAGCCCATAGGATCACAGGGAACATTAGACACTGTTGTCTAAAGAGAACTGAGGGCTCTGGACATCACAGGAGAAACTGAACACAGTGTCTGTCACTCAGTCCACACCAGGCTGCTGTCTTCATGCTAGAGAACAAGAGTCTTGAACAATCACTGTGAAGACAACATACCAACAACCCACCACTCACAGGGGATTCTGGGAGTCCTTGAAACCCAATCATGTCCACATTGCCCCTCCCCAGTCAGGACCCAGAGTGTCACCTTTACAATCTGGGAGAGACATTTCAGAGCTCTGGGAGCTGTCGCTGCCTAGGGTAAAACAAAACAAATGTATATGGTTATGTATATGAATATGTACATGTATATGTATTCATATCATGGTACAACTGAAGCCCCCAGAGGATTTCTCTAGAGGAGCTATTATGGATTCTCAGAGCTCCCAACATCCCTAGCTTCACTCCAACATCCCCGGGATAATCCTGCCACCCACACTAACATGGAGCTGGAGCATAGTTCCCTCCTTTTCCATCTGTGAGAAGAAAAGCTGTGAGAGTTCAAGGAAGATTTTGACACTAGAAAGTTTCTAGAACTGACAGTAAACCCGGTTGGAAACATCAGCAATGCAGGGTGTGAATGTGTTTTCCATTAATGAGCAGAGCACACTTCTAAAGGAAGCTGAGAGAAAACTCAGACCTTGCCCTTTCCTACCTGTGTTTTTCCTCCTCTTCATCACAAAAGCCACCACAGCTCCAATGATGGCCACAGGTCCAAGGACAACCAGAACAGCAATGATTGCCATGTTAGAGTCAGTGGATGGAGGAGGCTCTGGGAAGGACAGGGTCAGGAAATGAAGGTGAGGGTCATGACCCCAGCTCTCAGCCCTGACCAGCTCAGGGTCTGCAGAAAAATTCAGCTTTCCTGGACCAAAGCTCTTCACCCACACCCTCCTTACCCCATCTCAGGGTGAGGGGCTCAGACAGACCCTCATGGTACACATGGCAAGTGTAAACCTGCTCCTTCCCTAGAGGCACCACCACAGATGCCCACTTCTGGAAGGTTCCATCCCCAGAAGGCCTGGTCTGCACAAACTCCATGTCCTGGGTCAGCTCCTCCCCATTCAACTGCCAGGTCAGGGTGATGTCAGCAGGGTAGAAGTCCAGGGCCCAGCACCTCAGAGTGACATCACCTTCAGATCTGGGGTGATGGGTCACATGTGCCTTTGGGGGATCTGTGTGGAAGATATAAGAAATCCCTCAATTAACAAGACAAACATATCTACAGAAGTCTCAGTTAAATCAATTAAGACACTGAACCATGTATCTGTTTGAACACTTGAACTGTCATTGCACTTTTGACCAGTAGGTAGAGCTTGTCCCCTCAGCACAGAACTGCACATGTTCCTGGGGGGCTCAGAAGCTAAGAGGGTATCCACATGAGCCAGTGTGTCAACCTGGTTGTTCTTATGTGATGTTCTATAGCATGAGACAGGTAGTCAAAGAATGGAGGATAGAATGAAAAATAAGTAATTCAATATGTGTTTGAGTTCATATCTAAATTAGAAATTAGAGCCATTTGTCACTGGCAGGGTGCCACCACTGAGACTCAACCACTGTGGTCATGTTTCTGACCAGAATAAATGTCACTCCAAGTGAACAGCCATTACAAAGTGTGTAGCAGAAATGTGGTGAGCCTCTGACACTCAGCCAGAGAAAATGACTTCCAGCCTCTGCCTCTGGGCCAACAAGGTACAGGTATGTTACACAGGATCCCTGGATTGTGCTGTGGACCCCAGTGCAGCACTCAGTAAAACACTGTGGGCTCACAGGGTGTGTGGATCTTCCCTCTCACCCCAGGACTGGATTGCAGAAAACCCTGTCTCTCAGAAAGTCCAATTCCTGATTCACTAGGTGGAGCACTGTAACTTGTGGGGGAAGAAGAAGAGCAGGAGGCTTCTGGATGTTTAGTCCTGATCAGAAACAGTCTTAGTTCACAAGAATCTCTCCTTTAGTGGAAACCCTGAATTAACTTGTCCAATCATCTAGTCTGTGGAAACTGATACAAATGATAATATAAGGGCATGGAGAAACAGTATCACTCCAGTTCATATAAAAACTGACCAAGAGCAAAATAATGCCAAATAAAAAGTAAAGAAAAAAAAGTAAGAAATAAGAAATAGGAGAAGGATAAAGAAAAAAGAAAAGAAAAATAAATTCCACAATTTGTATTCCTCCATGGAACCTTGTGACCATTCACCACTGTAGGAATAGATAGAATTGGGTTGTAGGAAGGATGCAAACCCCACAGACAAGGTGCAGGGGTTCGGGGCATCTGCCAGAATGTATTCTTTGGAAAGTTTTAGAAACTCGGGAAACCAGTCTTGTGTAGGGGAGTCCATGTCTCCCACCAGTGTAATGGAGACTTCAGGTCCTGAGGTGTAAGGGCTGACACACTCAGCATGACAGGAGTCAGTGTCCTCAGACAGCAGGTGTGGGCAGAGAACCTGGCTTACAAAAGGCCATGGCTGACTGCAGGGAGTCCCTGCTGTTCCATCAGGAAATTCTCTCCTTCCCTCCTGAGACAGACTGGGAACTGTTCAGGGAGAAGGCTGAACCCTGGGATAGTCAGTGCAGTCACTGTGATGAGGATCAGGAGACCCAGGGACACTCTCTCCCCTCTGAGGCAGGGGCATCACCCCAGGTGAGGGTTTCTTCTTCCTCAGGACTGAGCCCCAACCCTAGGGCAGAGGGAGGAGCTGCCCGCAGCCCCTGCACCTGTGCACAGTAGCATCTCCTTCCCGCACTCCAGGTATCTGTGGAGCCACTCCACGCACTCGCCCTCCATGTAGGCCCTGAATCTCTCTGCAATACCAGCCTGCTCCCACTTGTGTTTTGTGATTTGCGCCACCATGTCCGCTGCCGTCCACGTTTTTAGGTCTTCATTCAGAGTGATGAAATCGCGACCATCATAGGCAGACTGATGATACCCGCGGAGGAGGCTCCCGTTGGACTCCACCTCACAGCCATATGTCCTCTGGATGGTGTGAGAGCCTGAGAAACCCTGGAGTCAGCCCTGCCCCGGCCACGGCCCCACCCAATCACTGATTCCTCCAAACTGAAGGGAAACCGCTCCTGGGTATTTTCTCTTTGGAACCTCGGACTCCGCACCCGGGATGTCTCTGACCCCTTTGTTGACATAGAGGGGTCCTTACCTTGGACCCGAGGTCACTCACCGCCCTCGCTCTGGTTGTAGTCGTGGAGCAGGTTCCTCAGGCCCACTCGGAAACTCTGCTCAATGTTCTTGACACTCTGTGTCATCCCCTCCCAATACTCTGGCCCCTGCTTCTTCACCCAAGGCACCCGCGGCTCCATCCTTGGATTCTCTGAATCGCTGTCGAAGCCCACGAACTGTGTGTCATCCACATAGCCGACAGAGATGAACCGGGGCTCCGCAATGCAGGGACGAGACACAGCGGTGTGGAAAAACCGCAGCGAGTGTGAGCCTGGGGTTGGGGGCGCGGTGAGACCCTGACCTCCTCCTGGGACCACAGGCAGGTGCACAGGCCCAGAGGGGAGCAGGGCGGGACTCTGGACGTGGGTGGAGAAGGAGCGGAGAGTCCAGTGGGCGAACCAGGGACCTGGCTTCCCCGGTGCCACCCTCGCCCCTCCCCACAGAGGCAATTTCCCTTCAGACCCTGCACTCACCCCTGTGAGTCTGGGTAAGGGCCAGGGTGGCCACCTGCAGCAGGAGCAGCATGCACGGTGCCATTGCCCCCTTTGAGATCCAGGGCATCTGAGTCCCTAGGGCTGAGTGGACTTTATAACCAGTGCGCTCTGAGATGCTGGTTGATTCCGGAGATCGCCCCACCCAATGGGGACGAGACCTGACCGCGGATCATCAGTGTCCGGGCAGAAGGACCTGACACAGTAGGTGCAGAAGTAAAACTGAGGAGATGGGGAATCCCCAGGCTTAAGCTTCCCCACCCCTGACCTCACCACCTGGAGACTAAGACTTTGCCTGTACACTGTGCTGTGGACAGAGTGCTGTTTGTCATGGTGTCTTCAAGTTCTGACCCAGGCGCTGTCTGAACACCAGAGAGACCAGCAGGAAAGACTCTCTGTGTCCTCTCCTCCACCTTTCCTCTTCCTTCTTCTCTTTAGAAGTAAGAACCTGGACTCTTCTAGAAAAAAAGTCACTTCCAGGAATACAATGTCAACACAAGCAGTTGAGGATGCAGCAGAGAGATGCTTCTCCTTAAAAAGGAGGTGCTGGCCTGCAGGTCCCACGGAGACCCCACAGACACTAGCCTTGTTCACCTGCAGTGTTGAGCTCACACAGACAAGCCTGAGTGCAGGACACTCATCAGTAAAGAGGAGACATTGCCTCTTCTCCCAGGATCTGTCTTCTCAGGTTCAGGCTTAGACTCAGATGCAACAGAGAGATGCTTCTTTTTAAAAGGACGTGCTGGCCTGCAGGTCCCACAGAGACCCCACAGACACCAGCCTTGTTCACCTGCAGTGTTGAGCTCACACAGCCAAGTCTGAGTGCAGGACTCTCATCAGTAAAGAGGAGACATTGCTTCTTCTCCCAGGATCTGTCTTCTCAGGTTTGGGCTTAGACTCAGATTCCTCCTGTTTCTTTTGAGATGAAGCATCTGTAGCTCCAGACAGGTGTTTTATTTACAAGGATCTTCATTCTCAGTCCTGAGATTGTCTGTGTGGACCTGTGTCATTGTCTCTGCACTGTAGACCTCCTTGTCCACTGGGAAGAGGGTTTAATATCATTGGAAACATAAATCACTCCATTCTCCATGGTTTGTTCCAAGATTCTAAAGTGATTTTCCAAACGTGGTTGACATTTGGAACCGTAGAGTGGTGTATATCTGTAGTGTGGGATTTCCCATGCACCCCCATTTTTAGCTTACAGGACAAACAGAGACATCCTCCATAGGTGTTAATGTCCTTAAGGCATGATGGTCTGATTGTCAAGGAAAGCAAGCAAAGGAATCAGCACTGGACCTGGCATTTGCGTGAATAGGAACCATAATGGGTTTCTGACATCCTGCTAGTGAGCAGTCTCCAGTCCTGATTATCTTGTTCTTCCCATGATATGTTCTCATGACACAAAACAAGGAAAGCATAGTGTTAGGAGGAGTGGGGATAACACCAACATACTGTGTGTCAAGGAGGGTAAAAACAGCCATGAGAATGACACAGAAGGAGCCTTGTGTGGTTTTGGGGGGTGGGGGTGGGAAACAGTTTCATCGAGCTGTGTCAATGAGGACATGAGTGTCCTTGCAGGTGATCTGGTTGTGTGCCCTAGGGTTCCTTCATGGTCTCCTCTTTGTTTTCTCTGTGATCCCCAGGCATCACCTCTTTCTGATGGAGGGATCTCGTCAGACATTGCAGGCTGATACCCAGTCAGTTGAGGTTGGTCCCCTGGAAAGATACAAATAAATCCCCTTCCTACTGTTAATAGGTAACCTGTCCCCCTCCAACACCTGTCAAATGGGTCCTTCCGTCTGACCAGGATGGGTTGTATTATGTGGTGGTCAACTCCAGTGACAGACAATGAAAGGTTTGCCTTGGGTGGCATAGATGTTGAACACATTCAGTGTAAATAATGCCAGGTTTAATTTGGTATTTGGTGGTAGGAAGCCTTGTTTTAACTAATTATTTTTTTAAGTGTTTGATTTGTTCTTTCAATGATGGCTTAGCTCTGAGGGTTGTACGGGATACCAGTATGGTGGAAAATTTTCCAAGACGTGCAGAAACTGTAGAATTGATGGGTCTTGAAAGCCAGTTCAGCATCAGCTTTGACATGGAGAGGGAGCCCCATAATACAAAAATTGGAGAACATGCCATTATTAGGGTTTTATATGGAAATGGGTATCAATGATAATGAACACAAATTTCTGTGTAACAAATGATGGGATGTGGGTGACATCATTCTTGCAAGAGGGCATTAGTCTCAGGGCTCTGAGGTTGGTGCCCAATTGTTGTATAGCAGGGGTGTGAATTAGGGAGGCACAGGAGGAGCAAGTTCTGAGGGTGTATTTGAGGTATTTTATGGGGGTATTCTGGAATTTGAGCTGTAGCCCTTCCAGATTAATATGGTTATCAGATGGGAGTTCTTTAGCAGTGAGGAGTGACAGAGTAAAGGCCCCAGTTGTGTCAATCTTACCAGCTGATGTGTTGCCATCAGACAGGGGTCTGATAAGGGATGAATATGACCACACATAGCTGACTGAAAAAATAGATATGTACTAGTCTAAAGTATTTTTAAAATCTTGATTATTAGGCGGGAAAAAGGGTCACTACCAGGTCTGACAAATGAGCAGGCTAGCCACAGGAGTAAGCTGACCATATAAGAGCTGTCTGAACATAGACTAGCTGATTCTTTTAGGTATGTTAAGACTAGGAAGATGGAATACAGTTCTTTAAATCGGGGAGATTTATCTGTGAGAGGGGGAAAATGTGACTCAGAGCCGCTGTCTCTTTGGTATACTGTGTAGATGGCATCCTGTGGCTCTCCATCAGTAAAAGCTGTGGGACTTGGGATTTCAGACCAAGAGCACAGTGGAGAAGGAAGCCACCTAAAGACTGGGGTGAATGAAGGAATTTATCTTTGGGGTAATAGTTGTCTGTCTGTCCTGGGAAGCCAATGAGGCTATTAGCAAAAGAGGTGTGGTTTCTCAGGAGCCATTGGATGTCTGAGATGAGGACGGGAAAACAGTTACACCAGGTTTTTACCTATAATTTTTAAGGTATGATCTCTTTCTGTCCTAATAGTGGATAAAGTGTCAACCTCGATTAGTAGTTGAGGCGCTACCCCTGTAGGAGCACGGAGCCATTCTAGGATCCCCTGAGGTTGATGTAAGGCTCCAACCACTGTGGGAGAAGAACTGAATGTAAAGACCTGGATTGTGTGTTGTGGATCATAACATGCCAGGTGTTTCTAATGTGGTGTTTAATAGAACAAAGGGTCCCTCCTGCTACTGGCATCAGGGAGAGAGGAGAGAAGGTGGTCCTTGTCACCCTTAGGAAAATGGAATAGAGGCTGTGATTGCCTGGTTGGTATGGTGAGCCAAGACCTAAACCACTTAATATTGCCTAAGAAGCTTTGAAGGGGATTTAGGGTTAATGCACTGGGGAAGCCACTGACAGGTGTAGCTGGCCAGACTCAGGATCCATGGATTTTTCTCTCTAGGAATGTGATGGGTTGAATAAGTTGAATCTTTCATTTTTAAAGATTTATTCTATTTTATGTATGTGAGTACATGGTAGCTCTCTTCAGAGACACCAGAATAGAGTATTGGATCCCATGACATATGGTTTTTAGCCACCGTGTGGTTGCTGGAAAATTGAACTCAGGACCTCTGGAAGAGTAGTCAGTGCTCTTAACTGCTGATCCATCTCTCCAGCCAGAACAAGTTGAATCTTAACTTTGGATAATATAATGCCTTTTCTGTTAGGACTTTTATGGCTTGTTGTTTAAGGTTCTCTGAGGTTAGGTTTTGATTTTGCCTTTTAGCTTGTCATATTAAGAGGTCATCCAAGTAATGAAATATACAGAGGCCTGAGTTAAAAGGGATTTCAATGCACCAGCTACAGCTTCTTAACAAATGGTGGGGCTGTTAGCCATGCTTGAGGGAGTTCCCTCCACTCAACCCTATCCTGAGGTATTGACTTTAGGTACTGAGAAGGCAGTTAGGGGGTAAATGGTGCCAGGCCTGGAGTGTACATAAACAGACCTGCTTAAAGCAGCCATCAGGGAGTAATGCTTACTAAATACCTGTGGAGAAACTACACTGGCCGAACAATTGGCTATAGTTCCAATTTATTAATGGAGGGAGGTTGTCCTTGTTGGGGTCCTATTTCTTGTTTATGTGTGTCATTTTTTTTCTAGCCTGAACCAAACATTCATCTCCAAAACAAGACTTCCCACTGTGTAAACAGGAGGCTAAGGAAAGGAGCTCGCACATATCTCTCCAGTCTAGGGGGTTAAAGGTCACTCCTGAAGCTTTCTATAATAGATTTCATGCCTGGCGCATGAATTCCATCCTCACAGATGGCTTTGCATTATTTTTTTAAAGTCTGTTACTGGGAGGAGACACCAAGCCAGTGGATATTGTCTTGATACTTGTAGATTAACAGGGAAGGTCCCTGTGGATGGAGGTTCTGGATTCCTGGGTCACTGTGGCTGAGGATAATTGTTCCCAGTGTTTGTGAGATTACAGAGCTGCTCTGACTCGGGGTTTGGGGAGGTGCTGTAGATGTAAGCATTTCTGCTCAGATGGAAGGGGATCTTGGGACTTGGAAGTCCAAGAACCACACAGCTTTGAGGTGGGACAGTGTCCCAGTGGAAGGGCATCCTGAGATACAGGGAACCAGGATCCACACTGCTCTGAGAGGAATCTTCCTCAGTAGAGGCATTGTAGCTTCCAGGGGTGTGTCTCCCCTTCTGAGCTGAGGATCTCAGGAGCCTCTGCCCAGCTCCTTCTCTTCCTTTCTTCTTGGCTTTTTCTGATGAGAGAGGAAGAGAGAGAGAGAGAGAGAGAGAGAGAGAGAGAGAGAGAGAGAGAGAGAGAGAGAGATCACACCAGGCAGCAAATCTCATGAAAGAGATTCATTGCAGGATCCAGGGTGTGAAAAGATTAGTCCAGGAACTGCTGCCTTTGGCTTTGGGAAAGAACAGCACGGAATCAGTAAAGGGCAGGGCTTATATAGGATTTCTGAGGGGGCGGAGCTTCTCTGGGCAGAGATTTCCAGAGTGAGGATTGGTGAGATTTCAAGTCCTGAGCAGGGTGGGAAGAGTCTCAGGGATTGGTGGGTTTTCCTGCCCAGGAATTGGTGCTTTTTTTTTTTTTTTAACCGCCTCTTTTCCCTGCATTGAGGCCAAGGCTTAGGGTGGAATGTCCTTCCCAACTGCAGGTGGAGTTTGCTGAGGCGCCATCTGTGTGGGGCTGCTGGGGGAGGCTCGAGAGAAGGCACTAACACTGTGTACAGCTCCTTTGAGACAGCTCCTGCAGTGTTTAAGCAAGGCAGTAGGCTGAGGCAGGAAAGAAGGTGTCATCACAATGGACTGCTCCTGAGGATCAGCTCCTGCAGAGTTGGGAAAGGAAATGCACCACCATGTATAGCTTCTGTGAGCCATTTTACTTATTTGGACATAATCTGAGGCTGGAATGAGGGGCCTGTATTGTGGTTTCCTGAGGCCTGGCCAGGACATGGCGGTGTGAAAACACCGCAGGGAGTGTGAGCCTGGGGGCAGCAGGCAGAGAGACCCAGACCTCCTCCGGGACCCCGGGCTGGTGCGCAGGCAGGAAGGGGAGCAGGGCGTGGGGCTTGGGATGCTGGTGGAGAAGAGGCGGAGCTTCCCTGGTGCCACCCCCACCCCTTTCCGCAGAGGCCCTATCCCTCAGACCCGGCACTCACCAGCAGGCGTCTGGGTCTGGGCCGCCCCAGCAGCAGGAGCAGCGTGTGCAGCGCCATAACCCCCATCTGGAATTCGTGGCGTCAGAGTCCCACGGGCTCCATGGACTTTATAACCCGTGCCACCCAATGAGGGTGAGACGTGACAGTGCGTCATCAGTGTCCAGGCACTTACACAGAAGGACCTGACACAGGTTACTAGCAGAAGTGAAACTGGGGAGTTGGGGAATCCACAGCCCTGGGCTTCCCCACCCCTAATCACACTGCCTGGAGACTAAGACTTCCTCTGAACCCTTTGCACTTGAGGTAATGTTAGTTTTTGATTCCAGATGAACAAGATAAATTCCACTCATTTGAATGCTAACTTGTAACAGATCATGACATCCCAACATCCAGAGCATTCCTGCAGAGAAAAGTGTCCCCTTTCCCCATCTTTCCTTCCACTGCAGACCCTCCAGGATCTCACCTGTTGAAGATGATAGAGAAGCATCACGTTCCTAGGCAACAGCGCCCCCTGGTGGAAGAAACACTGCGGACTCAGACTGAGCCCACAGAGCTGAGGGTAAAGGGGATTCAGGCTGGCTGAGCTGTCCCGGGGTCTCAGGTCTCATGCTGCCCTGTGCTCATCAAACTTACATCCAGAAGAACTTTCCATGCTTTTCCACCAGTGGGAAGAAAACTCCCTGTAAGAGGGGAGGCAGGAGGCAAAGCCATGAGTGCTAAAAGGACCTGCAAAGCCCCAAACAGAGCAGTTCCAGAACTCTGACAGGGACTGTGATGTTTCTTTGATATCAGCTACATGTGGGATGAGCTAAAACCCCAAAATAGAGGATAACATCTGTGAGGTGTTTTTGCTTAATGTGAAATGGGAAGACTGATTTCTGATCAATCCTTTTTGAGGTAGGGAGACACACCTGTAATCCAGAATATTTGACTGAACCCTTCCCCCATTTGTAATCTGGGCCACACCTTCTGCTGAAAGCCTACATGAAGACATGGAAGAAGGAAAGGCTTGCTCTTTGCTTTCTCTTGCTGCATCTGTGAGACATTCCTGCTGGCCCACCCTTGCTCTGAATAATGACAGCAGACTTACATTTATTTATGAATGCCTAGGCTTCATGCTAGGCCTGCTCCCAGCTCTCTCATAATTCAGTTATCCCATTTATACTATTCTAAGTCCTGCCAGGTGGCTGGTCACCTCTCCTCAGTTACACACATCCCTCTTCCTCCGAGTGTGCGTGGTGAATCCCCCATGCTTCTCTCTTCCCAGAGATCTTCTCTCTGATCTGAGTCCTGCCTTCTACTCTCCTTTGCTATAGAACATAGGGTTTTTATTTTACCACTCAGAAGGTGCTTTAGGTAGGCAAGGTAGGACAGAGACTCATCTTTACACAGTGTACAACAGCAATACCTCAACATTGCCCCCTTTAGTCCTATAAAAGGCTCTTTCTCTGGCGTCATCAACTATTTACAATTAGAACAAGTATAAAAGTGTAATTACAAAAGTTAAGAACCTAGGTAATTAAGTTAATAATTTTTAATAAATAATTATTGATTCTTTAATCAATTCTTTATTTGTTTACTTAAGAAGAATTCATTTTAAAAATTAAGAATGTTCATTAATTCTTAATATAAAAATATAAGAACAACGTTCAAAATTTCTGGTTCAAAAAAAAAGGTGTAGCTCATTTGCATTTGACAACCATTGAGAAATTACTCTATTATCTATTCTATGAATCCAAAGTTCTATCTATCCTATGAGTCCAAAGGTCTTTGTCTAATTCCCTTTCTATCATAGCTTGAAGTTCTTTGCATAAAAAAATCTTCCTAGACCTAGATCATTTTATTTTTTAAATGATAGCCAGTTTAAAAAAATATTTATTTATTTTATTTATGTGAATACATTGTAGCTATCTTCAGACACACCAGAAGAGGACATGGATCCCATTACAGATGGTTGTGAGCCACCATGTGGTTGCTGGAAATTGAACTCAGGACCTCTAGAAGAACAGTCATTGCTCTTAACCACTAAGCCATCTCTCCAGCCATAAATTATTTTCTTAAATCTTAAACAACTTAAGCTTACTGTGAGACTATAACTATCTAGTCTTCTATCCCGTCCGTGACCTGAGAAGGATAAATATTACCTGAGAAAACAGGAAGTGCAGAGCAAGCAGCTTCCAAAGCTACAGAAATGGCAGAGATCACTGACAGCCTGGACAGTCACCCAAGATTCTCCTGCAATGCTGGGCCATCCATCTTCAGGCTACTGGCCCAGTAAATGACAGACATTTTTTTGTGAAGCAGGAATATTGAAGGACTTCCCCAACTTGTCTCGGCAAAGCTCACCGGTCAGCTTCCTCTGTGTTCTGCTTGTCCACAGTTAGGACAGCATGCAGTCTGCAGTTGAAGCAAGGGCAGGTGTTTGGCTGTTGTCTAGCTTTGCCACATTTGAAGCAAATTCCACATGGAGGTCCTTCAGTGCCCATCATTCTCTCTGAAGTAGAATGGGGGGCTGCCAGACACAGTCATGTCTCACTGTTATGGAAAGCCTTGTGTTAATAAAACATTTTTGATTGCCATATTCTGTAGATCTCTGAGATTTTTTAAGACCACCTATCTATAGTACATCAGAATAGGCAAATGTTGCTTGTTTCTAGCTATCTACTATCTGTTCAACTTTTGAAACATCTACAAGAGGCTAAGGAGAGCTGATTTCTGTAATTAACACAACTAGTACCTGACATGTCCATAAGTTTGACTGACTGACTACCAACTTGCATTTCTTAATTATCTTGAACTCTTTGCAATCATTTCTTTTCAAGGACTGGAACTTTACAATACATTTTAAATTGCGTTGCAGAGGTGCAATACCTTAAACAAGATTTGAAACATGTATACCATATGTTGCAGCACAATATAAGCTCAAATTTCTCTCAATATACAAAAATCCAAACCAATGTAAAATATGTGAGATTAGTAGTTGTTGCTCTTTAGTCTAAAATTAGAGCCAACAATCTACCCTTTGGTCGTATCATTTCTTTATAGTCCTGACATGGAAACTTCTTGGAAAGTCAGTTATACCAAGTGATGGTCTGCTGATGCACACACGTGAAAGACTGTTTTGCTCAAGCAGACACAGGTGAAAGGATGTTTTGATGCAGCAGACATGTGAAAGGACCTGTGATGAAGGAGTATAAATATGACCTCACAGACAGTCGGAGACGAGCACTGAGCATTTGGTCTGGTTTGCTCCGCCTTGCTGTTTATCACTAAGGATATGCATGTATTGGTTTGCCCTACATAGTTTTTGAGATCCAATTGTGGTAAGGCTGCCACTGAGAGAAACTCTCCAAAGAATTGCTGCTGAGGTTCCTGTGGCTTCTTGGTTGGTGAGCCTTGTGGTTTCTTCAGGATTGAACTACAGTTGCTGGTTCGGGCGTGGTGTCTGCCTGCCGAAAGGACTGAACTGCAGCTGGTGGGGGTCTGGGGAAAAGAAGACTGAACAGCAGCTGTTGATTTGAATTTGCTGTTTGCCATGGGACTGAACTGCTGACAAAGAAGATTGAGCTTGCCCCCTAAGAGCTACTGTCAACCAGGTCCACTTCCCCTATATGCTAATAAATTTTCTTTCCACTACCTCTTCTGGGTAGTGGGCAAAAGGAGAGGCTGTACATTTACTAAAGTAGGTTGGAAAAAATTAATGCCTACAAACCCCTTATTTTCCTTTTCATCTCTTCTCCCACTCCGACACTAACATGAGATAGTAGAGAAAGAAAGACAGAAGAAAGAAAAAGAGAGAAAGAAATTCCTGAATCTAATCACCTTTCCTTTGTTTCCTCCCTGACCAGGATCTTTAACCACTTGTGACCAACCCTACTTTCCCAAGGACAAACATTCTACACCCACGCAACCACCAATTTCTACCACCCCACTCTTGGGAGTGAGAGCTTAGTGTTCTTAAATTGTTTCCTACTTCTGGGAATGATGATGTCTTTCAGGGGCCCTAAGATAGTTAGGATAATGGTCCAGTCCTAAGAAAGCCAGCTGTAACATTTGCTGTGCAGTCTCTGCGTGAGGGGAAAGTGCAGGGCTTAACTGAAGTCCTGGGTGGAGCCGTCTGTGAGGCTGGAAGATTTTAACTAGATGTTCTGAAGTTGTTCTGGATGCATTATTTTAAGGAGACAGCTACTGAGGCAGTTTAAGATTGCATCGTCCAGGCTATTTGTCTTGTCTTCTTTGGTGTCTTGTCCTTTCTCTGTAAATACACAAACTTTTATAGGTAACATACATTTCTGTGTTAACACATGTATGGTTAATTTCTATAAGTCTGTTTTGTGCTATGATCTCTATAAGTCTGTTTGCACTATATCCCCAAGCTGCAATGTAAATATGCACCCATGCATGACATAGGAAAGGGTGACTGGAGAAGCCGTGTGGACTTCGTAGCCAACAAGATTTATTGGCTATGAACAGCTGAAGTCCTGTCTAGAGACATTGATGTCTCATCCATTTTCAGAGCTGTTTCCCTGTAGAGGGAGGAGAATTCATGTTTTGTTTTGTTTTGTTTTGTTTTGTTTTGTTGTTCTACTTGTCTTCTTCTTTCATTTTTGCAGCCAAGATTTTCAGGAGTTCTCCCCTGGTCAAATGTAATCTTTATCAATTTTGAAGGAATTCACAGCCTTCCTTCTCTCTTGTTGAAACAGAGGCAAAACATCTCCCTGAACTCCACACATTTCCTTCATTCCATTCTGAGGTTCTCACATACATATGCTGATCTAATCCAGCAGTCCTTTCTCAACTCCAGTGTTTTTCAGTGGCTGTGTTACCTGTCTCTAGACCTACAACCAGACTTCAGACAAAGTAGATTCCAGGAGGGGAGGTAGAGTGTGTAGTCCATGAGGAGGAGCCCTGCACTTTTGTGCACACATGTAAAGAGCTTGACAAGTTTGCTAATTCATTCAGCTGAAGTCTGGGGAATATGAGTCGGGGTGGATTTTGAGGATGTGGGATATTGTGGGAAGGAACATAGATCTGGGTCAGGCTGAGTTTTTGATATGGAAACA